ACAAAAGTGAATAATAAACATACAAATAGCTACAGTTCGAGGGAACTCTTCCAAAATAGAGGGCAGCTTTATTACGTTAAGATTCAATAGCAGCAGAGTTGTGATTACAGCAATAAAGGCCAGACTTTCAGTGGTGGAGACAAGTGGAGCATTTCTATTAAATTAAAAGCATCAAATTATGATTCTTACAGAAACAATGATACTCTGTCGAAAGTCGGGAATACTGTTTCCAAATGGATGACTAATACCTTAACTGACAGTTTTCAACTTTTCTTTTCGGGCTCTGCTTTTCAAGGTATTATTTTTATAGCGTTCTCTGATTTGTGAATGTCCATGACAACTTGCGGCTGACGGAGGGACGGGAGAAGGGTCCGCAGCGTCTGTCGGGTCACGAGCCTCTGTCTGTTCATTGATGAGGTGCAGTTGTTGAATTTCCTCAACCGAGGCTGTCGGGTCACGAGCCTCTGTCTGTTCATTGATGTGGTGCAGTTGTTGAATTTCCTCAACCGAGGCTGTCGGGTTACGAGATTTTGGCTGTCCATGGGCGTGGAGCATTTGTTGGATTTCCACAACCGTCGCTCGATCTGACGGCGAGGGACATAACAGACGTTCAACACATTGTCTGTGCAAGTCTGGAATCAACACCTTGTCTTTGAGCTTCTGTAGAAAGTTCGTGCCCGACTTAGGTTCTTTAACGAACAGCAAGGCCCAGAGACAGAGTCCAAGAGAGTAGCTCTCAAGCTTAAAAACGTCATCAACTGGCTCGCCTTCTTCGTATTCAGGTGCCCAGTAGTGCAGAGTGCCTCCCCAACGCTTGGAACTGGTCGAGTTTTTGGGAAGAATCTGAGCCTGCCCAAAGTCACCCAGTACAGCGTTTCCGCAGTGGCTGATGAATACATTTCTCAGCTTCAAGTCGCCGTGCACGAGGCAATGTTGGTGGAGAAAAGACACAGCGTCTGTTAACTGTGTGAAATAGCGGCTAGCCTCATCGGTCGAGATATCACATAGAGCATGGGACAGATCGGAGCGGTGCAACTCCATCAAAATGGCGACTTCATCGGGACATTTAACCGCCCTCTCCATTTTTATAATGTTGGGATGACGAACGTTTTGAAGAATCTTGACTTCTGCCTCAAACTCTAGCAAATTCTCCTTAGTTCCTCAGAATCCCTTTCATCGAGAAGGAAAGTAAGAAGCTTCAGAGCTTTTTTGTTGTCGGGGTTGTTCTCATCCGTAGCTAGATAGACCTTTGAGGAACTGCCACTACCCAAGGGTTTATTATAATCTAACGACACACCGAGCGCCTCTGTGACGTCACAATTCGAGTAAACTTCAAACACTGGCGGGCGGAGACGCAACATCGTGCACACACTGAAGCTATAGATTGTAATACGGTAGAACCAAGATAATCCAAGTTGTCTGTAACTCAGAGATGCGGGGGGGGAAACAGAAACAAAATAGTCGAACTTCCACACCAAGCTGTTGAGATTAATTTTGGTTCACCACAATACGAACACTGAGTTTTCCCCCCTCACTGTTTATCATAAACGAGGAGGAAAGTTCCTCTGAATCAAATCCACGGTGCACTCGGGGATTCCAGGGGAAAAATGATAAAATCGTGCAGCTACTTTCAAAAGCCCGTGGTTTATAGTCCAAGAAATACCAACTGATATCCACAAAGTCATATACACTTTCCAGAAATTGCTGCAAACGAGGATTCCAGGGGACAAAATCAAGCAGTCACTTTTAAAAGCACGTGGTTGATAGTCCAAGAAATAGCAAACGATATCCATAAAGTCATATACACTTTCCAGAAGTTGCTGCACACGATGATTGTAGGGAAAAAATCAAGCAGTCTCTTTTGAAAGCACGTGGTTGGTAGTCCAAGAAATACCAAATAGTATCCACAATCATACGTTGACAGCTGAAACGTTCAGAAAGCAAATGAAACGCACACACAGCCAAGACAAATGCAGCCGTTTAGTGTCGTTTTCTCGAGGTGACAGGGAGAGCTTGACCACGTGACAAAAAAGCTACGGTTATCCAATCGGCGCTGCAGATTTAGTATTTAATTTTATCACATGTTACAGTTTTTGAATCGTGACGTAATTATAAGAATATCGCGAGACTGCCCTGAGGCACATCGCGGTCATGGGTCCTGCCTTTTGGTCATTGCTTCACGCTTGACAAGCAGCACAGCCAATCAAAACGAAGCTCTGGTCGGAGCTCTTACATAAACGCGTGCTCAGGAGCAAACAAAGAGTTTGTTTTTACACCTTCACAATGACTGAAACTTTTTTGGTCAAAACTGCCTTGAGGGGAAATGTAGGCTAACAGGCTGAAAGGGAGGTTGAGAGAAAGAGGGAAGGAGGTAAAGAAAGAGAGAGGGGGAAGAGAGAGAGAGAGAGAAGAGAGAGAGAGAGAGAGAGAGAGATAGAGAAGAGAGAGAGAGAGAGAGAGAGGGGGCAGAGAGAGCAAGAGAGAGAGAGAGAGAGAGAGA